GCCCGTTCTCATCCCAAGGCGTCATCTAACTGACGCTTTTGACCATGCGTCAACATGCCGACGCACATGGTACCCCTTAAGCATCAATATGAGACGCGCCTCCTAGTGGTCTAACCCTAACCCTAACCCTACCCCAGACCTAAACCTACTCATAACGGAAGCGTCATTTAACTGACGCTAAAGGGTGCCATGTGCGTCGGATTTAGACGCATGGTCAAAAGCGTCAGTTAGATGACGCCCGAGGATGAGCGTCTCATATTGACGCTTAAGGGGTACCATATGCGTCGGCATGTTGACGCATGGTCAAAAGTGTCAGTTAGATGACGCCTTGGGATGAGAATGTGTTGCTATATAATATGCGCATCCTAAAACATGTCACAGTCGCATTCTCACCTCAGTAAGGTCATGATCTCCTCAGAGGCACGTCGATAGTTCTTTTTTTTCTTTCCTGAGGAGGGTGTTGCCGGGAGAGTGGCACTCCGTAGTGAAGGAGTGGCACCCCACACATTTCTTCCGGTCATACGCAGCCCTTTGCCTAATTTCCCAAGGGTCTTCAGTGGCGATGAGCCACAGATTCGCTCCAGAGTTCCTCTCTTTTCTTTTGATCCCTCAGTGACCTTTGACCCTCCACGCTGCTCTGCGTTTGCCTCATTCTCTAGTGCTTCGCTCACCTGAGATGACCTGTGGTAGTCCTGTCCATTCTTCCAGACCTCGTCCTCTTCATTATTCCACCCTATGCCTGCCCACGCCCCTTCAAACGGATTCAGATCGGATAGTGGCAGAATGAGTTCCCCGTTGCTATGGTTGCTCTTTAGGATGGGTTCTCCATTAGTTACGTTACTTTTTTGGAGATCACCATTGCTGTGGTTACTCTTGAACCTCCTGGGCAGCCTCTTGAGGATGGGCATTCTGACTCTGGTTAACTAGAAGACGAAATGGACATCGTTACATTGGTCAGAATTGTCTTGTTTCTAATTTCATTGAAATACATTTGCATTATATATTCTAAAGATCTCACATTACAGTTTGTTCCAAACAGTTTGTCACACATCTGCAGAAATAACTCCAATTTTAAAGTGTATTTTTATTTTTTAAATCCAATGAAATATATTTACATTTTAATATATTACATTTTTAATTATTTGTTAAATGCACCTAAATCATTCCAATTTGCAAGATTTTCTTGCCATGTCACCAAGCATGTCGTAGTCCATGTGTCCTGATTAAAGGTAACCAGAGTTGAAACCTGTTTAAACCGCCTTCATCAGGTCTGTCTTAAATGGCTTTGCCTTGTTGCATTCTCATTGTTCAGTATTCCGGTGAGTGGAGTGCATTAACAGCATATGTATGCGTGTACGTGTGTGTTCTTTGAAGACGTTAGCAGTTTTTAAGCTCCTATAATGGAAGCTCCCATCCAGATGTGTCAGAATAGTTTCCTGTCCTCAAAGTTTCTCAGAACATACACACTCTACTCAAACACAAACACTACACACACTCACTTTCAATAAAGTCTCTCGTGGGATTAACAAAGTATCTACCAACAAATTCTACACAATCTGCAATCTATATGTTAAAAATTGACTACTTTAGTAGTAAACCCTATCAAGATGTAATCGTCCCCTTGGAATTATAAGGTTCTATCTGACATTTTTGTCAAAATTTAGTTATTCACGTATTCTTATTCTGTGACCACTTCTTTACATTATGTGATGTTGTTTTTTAAGTCGTGTACATTTTGGAACTTTTTATTTAGAAAATAAAAAGGTTCTTTCTACACAGTCAAATGGAATGCAAAAACTTTAAAGTTCAATATCTCAAAACTGCTCAGAACGCAGATAGAACCTTATAATTCCAAGGAGACGTATTGTGTTTAAGAATTTCTCATGCAATTTGAACAAAGCCTCTTAATATGTATATATGAAGAAAAATAGGTAAAGACAGAGCAGGGAGGAAGGGAGAGGGAGGAAGGTGCTGTTGTATAGCACACAGTGACCCCTGTGATTGTGTTTCAGCATCCCTGCCTTGCATTATTTCTGAGCAGAGTTCCACTGGTGTGGCGGTTAAAGATCTGGGCTGGGAACCAAAAGGTTTTAGGTTCAAATCAATCACCATTGTACCCTTGAACAAGGCATGCGTGTCAGCTAAAATGACTACTTGCACCCCTCACCTATATTAAACTGACTAATTTGGTTATTTACTGTCTGGGTTCCAGGTGGACCTTCTGTCAGTATTTTTGTTCTTACATAATTCCCGGTAACAGAAGAGAAAACATCACTTGTAAATGTTGTATTTATGTTTAGAGACAGATAAACATGAAACAAACGGGGAAAAAATGCTGTGTTTTTTCGATAAGCACTGTAGAAACAGGGCTGCTACAAAATCTAATTGTCCGGACCAGATCTGTATTGCCTAAAGGAAATTAATTTAAATGAATTGCTGAGTTTTATCAAGATAAAAATGTGCTTGGCAAAGGATTTCATCATCATTATATAAACATCAGATGAACAATAAAAAAAAAAACTTAAAGTGTGATTATCAGTTTTAGTTCTGGGTGAACTTCAAAAGCATCAACACCAGTAACTTATATATATATATTCATGATTCTTTGAAGAAAAGAAAGTAAAAAAAAACAGTATTTATTTTAAAAATATAGCTTTTGTAATATTATACACTGCCGTTCAAAAGTTTGGGGTCAGTAAGATTTATTTTTTTTGGAAAGAAATTAATAATTTTTTTCATCAAGAATGCATTAAATTGATCAAAAGTGAGAGTAAAGACATTTATAATGTTACAAAATATTTCTAATTTAGCTTTTAAACTTTCTGTTCATCAAAGAATCCTGATTTTTTTTCCAACATTGACAATAATAATAATTAATGTTTCTTGAGCAGCAAATTCCCATATTAGAAAGATTTCTGAAGGATCGTGTGACACTGAAGACTAGAGTAATGGTGCTGAAAATTCAGATTTACCATCACAGGAAAAAATATTTTAAAATATATTAAAATAGAAAACAGTTATTTAAATCTTAAATTGAATCACTCATGTAACATCTGTATTAAGAAAGAAAATTGTAAAACTGAATTTATGGACTCATATTTCATTGACTGGGATGAAAATAATGATAAAAATCCACATATATGTATTGATTATAACACAAACGTAAAAGAATGACATGCATCTCTTACCTTCTGCTCCAGTGGGCAGTCAGTTCAGGGCAAATCCATTCCAGTGTCTGTGTGAGTGATAGAGAGCCTATCAGTAAGAGAGGGCCAAAGTGTTTGTGTGTCTGTCTCCAAGAGTTTGGGGCCTTGTATTGGAATGTTGGAGGCAGCCGTTCAGTTTGCTACCAGATGATGATGCATTTTCCTGAGGAAAAAGAGACACCCTCCCTAAACAAACATAGACACACACACAGACACAGACACACACACACACACACACACACACACAACAAATAACATATAACAACACAAGTACAGCTTCAAATACACAGACATGTACAGTACACATACACTCACATATATACTCAAGAGTTGAATGCACATAAACATGTTTAATTGAATGTATATGTGTGTGTGTGTGTATAGCAATGTATGTTTGTTTATGTTTTCTTTCAGGAGATTTTAACTGTTGTTGAAAATAAGAACTTGTTCTTAAGTGACTTGCCTGGTTAAATAAAGGTAAATAAATAAATAAATTCACAGCGATAATGTTTTGACAACAGTTTTGATATCCAGATACTTGGTTTCACTGAGGTCTCAGATCAGTTACAGTACAGTGTCACTAATCTTAATGTTAATAATCTTAACCTTAAACAGTTGACATAGAACAGCTGCTGGAATAGGCTGTTCCTGTAATTCTCATATTTTACATTCTAATTATGTGAATTTATGAATTAACCATCAGGTCTTATACAGCAAACGCAAGATTTCATTATTGGAAATGGGAATCACTGCACTAGTAGATTCATTTAGTATTGGTGTTTTCTTATTGATCCTGGAAAATTCCCAGGACTGCACATTTTGGATGCTCCAGAAACAGTATGAAAACCCCTGATTTAGCACAAGCTGTGCAAAGGCTTCTTGGATGAGTGGTCAAACACAACCAGTTGTCCAGAATGAATCTAAAAGAACAGTGGTTATTTACCAGGGGGCCGGACCCCAGGGGCCTCTGCAAAACTTCCAGAGAGGCTCTAATAAGTCTTACATGTATTCAAATTTATATATGTTAAAAAAGTATTAATTCAATTTCACAAATAAAACACTAAGTCCTGGTTTAACAGACAGGCTTTAGATTAAGCCAGGATTGGGCCTTAGTTCAAATAGGACATTTAATTAGCTTTTATAAACATGCTTTAGAAAAAAACATTACAGGAGTACATCTTGTACATATTTTAAGATTCGTCAGTGCAAGTTCCTTTCAGTTAGAAGAACAGCTCAATAATTCACTTTAGTCTGGGACTAGGCTTAAGCCTTGTCTGTGAAACCGGGGTAAATAAAAATGCACAATGTTTAACTGGCATCATATTTTAATTACAACTGAATTACCAGAGGTACATATCAGTTTAGACAGGAGGGCCTTCAAATATTTTCTTCGACAAAAGGGGGTCATGGAGTTAAAAAGGTTGAAAACCACTGTACTAGAACATTCTAATATGAACAGGATAGCTAAGAATCTTTAGACTTTTCACAGACATTTTAGCATAACCTAAAATAAATAAATAAATATATATATATGTATATCTTTTTTTATAATTTTGCACTGACTTGTACAAGAAAAAACACAGACATAAATAAAAGCCACCCCCTTTAATACCTGCCTTACTCTCATGTTGGTCTAGTTGTTCAGTCTGTATCTTCAGATGAGAGGCACTAACGTAAAATACAGAGAAAAGTGCACATCTCCTGTATTACTTCTCCCTCTGGTGGACAATACATTATAGCGCAGCTAAGATCAATGTGATACTCTGTTCACCTGCCATTAACACCACACACATATTCAAATAATTGTTACTTTTATTAAACTTTTATTTTATGAAATCATAAACACTATTAAACTTAATTAGTATGTCCAACGACATACTTTCCTGTGATTGTTAACATGTTAGTATATTATTGTGAATTTGCATTTGTCACCAGATTAAGCTTTAAATGCAAGTAAACTTGCATACTGCTAGTTCAAACATAACCCGGTCAACAAGCAAAAAAGAACCCTGCAAACAAATTATTGCTACGGCAAATATTTACCATACCAAGTGTGATGGCAATTTGACAACTGAGCAATTAAATGTACCACTCTTATGAGTTTGTAAACAAACACCTTACAGTTACCGAGTTGCTAAACTAGTTGGATACTGCACGTTGCATGTGTGTCCTGAGTGTGTTAGGGAGCTCAGTCCAGTGACCGCAATAATCCAGAACAGATACAATCACAGTGTCTGATGTGTTGGATGTTGATGGTTGCCTCTGTGATGATGGATGTTGCCATGGTGATGAGGGTACGTGTGGAGACAGGGATGCTCAATTCCTTCATTCTGCAACTCTTCCTGTTTGTGGAGACCATGCAGCTTCTGCAACAGCTCAGCAATAAAGGCCTGAATACACACACACACATAATCTAACTGTAAACACTTATACTACTTGTGCATAAGCATGTAAATGTTTGTTTTTTTGTTAGAAAAAATATATATAATTTATGTAAAACGCAGAAGAAATTTTTTTTTTAAATTACGTGATTACATTTTTTTTTAATTGCTTACACACAATTTCTATAAACTACACACAAGGTATAAAGGGATTTAGAAAGTAATTATTAATAAGTAATGCAATACTTTTTATCGAGAGTCATTAGTAGCTAAAAGTGTTTTGTTGTGTGTGTGTGTGTGTGTGTGTGTGTGTGTGTGTGTGTGTGTGTGTGTGTGTGTGTGTGTGTGTGTGTGTGTGTGTGTGTGTGTGTGTGTGTGTGTGTGTGTGTGTGTCACGTTCCTCTCGACTGATTCTCCATGATGTGTCAGCATTTCAACACTAGCTTACCCAGAGGCACACAATCTTCAGCACACACACAGTAACAAACATACTAATCAAAAGGCTGAGAGTGAACATTGTTAAAGAGCCCCGATGAAAGAATGGCTTTGTACTAACAGAGAGCAATAGGGGCAAAGGGAAAGAGAGAACAAATCAGTCATTGACAGTGATCATTGTGAGAAACAAGTGGAAGGGAGTGTCAGCCACTGCAGTGTCCCTCAGAGAGAGTGGGAGAGAGCGGGAGAGAGCAGGAAAGAGGGATGAAGAAGAAAAGTAACAGAGGATGAGGAAAAAGTCCATAGAGGGGTAATGAGGATGAGTAGACAAAAAAATTGAAAAGAAACAAGAAATATGTTAGGATAGAAAGATGATGACAAAGTGAAGGATTTACAGATGGAAGGATTGAGGAAAGTACCTCAGTGTTCCTAGTGCAGGTTTGCAGAAGAACCTGTAAAACAAATGAAAACAAATTAATAATTTCTAATCTTTAAAAAAAAAAAAAAATACCAAACCAAATGCAACTCATTTAGATGAGCCTAAAAAGTCAGTAATACTTATATTAACAACTGATTAACATGCACTTGCGTGCAACCAGTGGAGAATATAAAGCCTTAAATGGTTCTATATTGTGTAGAGCATTCAGACAAATGAGTCTATAAAGTTCTCATTTCTGAGAAAAATGTTATAAAAAGGGAGTCCCTGCAAATACTTAGGTCAAGGGACATAGTGTAAAAGCTCTGGCATCCACTCACCATCTTCATCTAAAATTAAAATGGCAGACAGACCTCAAGGTCAATGGTCCTATCTTTTACATGTCATTTTCATGTGAGATACAAACTTTAAAATTTGAAGAATTAAAAAAATAAAATGTTAATGTATTTGAGCACTAATGTATTGGGGCGGGGGAATATATTAAGAAATGCTTACTAATGCATTTTCTTCTTCTCTAGAGGGTCATTTTATTTACCTGACATTTGTACGAGATTTTTTCTCTAGTTGCTTCCTAATCTAGTTGTCTAATAAACATGGCATTGTATATTAGGAATATTATTGTCTCTTTAACAAATTGCTTTTGTTCCTGTTTTATAAGTTGCTTTTGAAAGCGTCTGCTAAATTCATAAATGTAAATATGGCTAGACATACAAGCACAGGATGTGGTGTGAGTGAGAAAGGAGGATTACTGGACCTGTAGTTTGTGTGTTCGCTCTTCATCACTTGAGAGATCCAACAAATCATCTATGTTCACTTCCTCTGGCATGTCCTCCAACATAAACACACACACAAAAAACTATTAGTAAGGGTGCTAAAAGCATTAACTGTTCCAGAAATACATATTAAAAAAAAAAATACACAGGAATGAGAATTTAAATATAAAACACTGCAGAAAGTAGTAGGCCTATGAGAAGCTAAAAACATATAGGCAGGCCAAACTGTAAATCTGACATTATAGACATCAAGTCCAATGTAAGACATGTAGCTCCAACAATTACAGCATATAGAACAATTATGGCATCGCTGCACTGAACCTCATTTGTTTATTCCACTTCACATCTCCACTGCCTAATTACATCTCCACTCATTCCATAATTTCAGTGGGAAACTTTTGCGTACACATAAGCAAAAGAACAAATCGAGATAACAGATCACATAACACAACTCCCGAGAGACATCTCTGTCGTCTCTTACTGTGGGTCTGCGTCTCACAACACACACAGCTTATGTTTAAACTTCCTGCCTGTTGCTGCCGCAGACGGTTTCTCAGGGGTGCCCATGTAAGGTAGCGATAAAACCAAGTTATCCCCCTCTGTAATTGAGGGAGAAAAGGCAGAACCTCCCTAAGTACCTCCAGAGGCCTGCTCCTCCTCACCTTTTATGGACAGACAACTTAATACTTATCAAACATTATCCAACTAATATTCTTTTGTCACAACACACTTACATTAACAAAGGCTGTTGTTTATAACAATGAACAATGTCTCCTCTCAGTCCATTTAAAGGTGCATGAGGAGATAATTGCATATAATCTGCCTTATACAACCTAATAAACCTGGCTTTAAATATATATACATTTTGTTGGATCTTTGATTAATTGCTTTTGTTTCTCTTGTAAGTAGCGTAGCATAAAAAAGTGTCTACTAAATGCAAAAATGTGAAATGGAAACATAACATTTTCATTTGGGAAAATGCAAATACGGACAGATAAAACAGAACTGTGTTGTCAACATAATCAAAATGAAAATATTTAAATGCAGAAGCAGCCTTTCATTTACATTGAGTGGTGTAAAATATTTCAGAATTATTTATTCAAATGCATAGTGTCTCATTCTTATTATTTTGGTGCTTCTTCTGTCTACAGGCACTTTTTAAAAGCAAAATAACCAAACATTCATGTTTATGGACAAAATAGTTAACTGTCTATACACTACTGCATTCAACTATGCAAAAATCAACACACCTGTTTACAATAAGAAACCTGAATTTAAAAGTACAGAGTAGGTGAATATGCATTTTTTAAAACTGACATCGAGGGTAGAGTGTAAACGTTTGTGGTCAACTTCTTAGAGAAGGAACTGTTACACATTCCGCAGTCAAACATTTCAAAATAACGCATGAGGCAGCAGAGTTTGGAAATGCATGTGCGGCGCCCTCGTTCATTTTTCCATCAAAATCGACTTATTTTTTCAGAACTCACCAACCTGTAGTTCCCAGCGTCAACACTGCACCTGTGAGGAATGAGGATGAGCATGGATCACTCACCTTGCCCTCGTACAGCCTCTCAAGCCCCTCATCGATCCATTTCTCCACGTCCAGTCTTTTCTGAAGCTGTTTGCGGTTGTATTTTACTGTAACGCGCGCTTGACGCTTATGTATGTTCATCCCGTGCTCTGGACCAGTGTCTGAATCCGGGGAATGAACGATATGTATCTCCTCAGCCATGTTTGCATGCGCCTGTGCTGTGCTTGTCTATGAGCGCGTGGACAGAAGAAGCTGGACGCTGAGTGGCGCGCGCTCTCAACTTGATTGGAGGTAACGTCAGACGCTTGTGGATTTATGGGGTAGGCCTACATTTAATGTTGTAACAACAAATATATAATGTATGTAAACCCCAGAAGAAAAGTTTAAAAAATAAATGACGTGATATTACAGTTTTTTAATTGCTTACACACAAGTTCTCTAAAAGACCACAAAACATCACACACCTCTTGCAAAAGCGAACACTTCATTCAAAACTATTTTAACTCTTCTAAAAATGCTGCTTTTGCACAGAAAGTCTGCACACAACCCATCAAATGATTAACCATAGGTTGAATGCAGATAAAGTGGGCCGTTTCAGTTTGATTGTACTGTGCTCAATGAGTCTAAACTTTACACTTTCAGCGCATGACAATGGTCTTCAGTCAAAGAGACAGCTGTGTCCGAAACAGCTCCCTATCCACTATAGTGCACTCTCACACTCACAGATGCAAAACTAGCATGATATAAATGTTTAAGCCGAAAGTAAGCTGTTAAGTAATTTCTGGTTTAAACTCGCTCGTTCCCGCACTTTCACGCGCACTCGGTTCTCTACGCATTGGATTCTGGGAAATAGTGCTTCAGGGTGTACATCGAATGCAAATATCAAAGGGTATAGGTAGAAGAAGGTGTATTGCTGGCCCACTTTGACTGATTCCGGTCCACTTTATCTACATACGCATTCAGTCTGAATGTGTTAGATGGGCTAGTGGGATTCCGGTAAAGTGGGCAACCTTTAATCTTCAGTAATTATACTCAAATGTATTAAATAAATTGACATTCACTGGTTAGATGATATGTATAATCTACTTTTTTAGAAAACAGAAATAAGTGTGTCATTAGGAAATTCAAGTCAGATATGGAAGAAAGGAAAGAAAGAGCAGCAAATAAGACGAGGCATTAAGTTCTTCAAATCTGTGGGGTGAAGAAAGGATGAGAAGAGCAAAATTTAGATTCAGAATATAAAGCTTTTAAATATGGACAAAGTTAATTTAAAGTGTTTAGAGAGAAAACAGATTTTTACTAAAGGTTTTACAATATGGTTACATTTTTAAATGTTCCTCTAATTCAATTTTTGTAAGCCTATTTGTTGTTGCATGTGTTATAGTCCCATTTTTAGTATTTTGTAGAGGTCATTTTCATCCATTTACTGATTTCTAAATATTCTGATATTCAGTTTTCATCCAATTTAATGTCAACACAACATGTTCTATCAGTTGTTTTGAATTTGGCACATGCATTGAGTATGAATTTTACTCATAGTCTAGGCTATATGCTTTTGGTTTTGAATGTTGTTGAATGTTGTTTGTTTGATACTATGTGTTAAATCATGTGTTTTTTAATTAAGATACAGGATAATTTTTGGTAAATCAGCGATGGCCCACTTTAACAGACCAGCTGGCCAACTTTACCTGAAAATAAATGTGTTTGGTGCACATGATCTCAAAATGTTTATTGTATATCCCTTTCAAATTACACATTATATCAACTGTATTCAAATTGAAATATTATAGCTGGACCTTAAAGTTAACAAAAGTAGAAAAGAAAAGAAAAGAAAAGAAAAGAAAAGAAAAGAAAAGAAAAGAAAAAAAACATCTAGGCATCTAAATTGCTCGTTTAACAAAAAATGTCCCACTTTTTATAAATGCAGTCCATTTACCATTTACTATTTACTTTACATTCACCCTACATGCCAAACTACGCACAGATATGAAAATGTGTCTTTTGCTTGTTCAGTGTGCAGTGGAGTGCACAGGAGTTTGTCATAGCACTCACACTTACATGTATTTGCACAAATACACTGTATATAGCCTACAGTATGTATACACAATTGATTAACTTTACAGTTATTGAATTGAGTGAATCAACTCTGAACTGACTTGAGCTGAATAATGACACTATTGGCTTGTTAGAGCTGCTTTACAGCAGAATTTGTTATGTGAAGCTGCACTGAAACAAGTTGTATTGTATGAAGCATAAAGGTGACTTGACTTAACATGTATGTATATTCAGTATATATGTACAGAATAAACAGAAATGGGTGTCATTGGGTGTAAGTAATTGGTAATTGATTGTGGCATTTGAATGGCTGTGTTTTCAAAATGAAACACAAGAGCTGTTAGTTTTGAATAATGTGTCTAATGTAGAGAACTGTTTGTTTAACAATGGCAAACTGAGTGTACAGCAAGCTTGCAGTTTTGCAGATTTGGTCTGAAGATTAGGTACATGATTGAATGGTTTCTCTGAGTGTCTCAAGTACCACTTTAAGTGTGTAAGCAATTTAAAAAACTAATCAAACATTGTAGAAAGAATAGAATTGAACAAATGAGGTGTTTTTCTCATATAATTTACTTCATTTCATTAAAATAACAAACACATATACAAAATAAATTAACATAAAATCTTTACAAAGATAAGACAATGATTGAAAGCAAAAGTACAAAAATGCAAAATAGAAACTTAGGCGTAAACTTAGGTTTAAATTAATAGGAAACATCTGGCAAAAGAAATAAACATTCATTAGACAAACCCCATTGAAGAAAATCTGATTTTATGTAATTTAACATAAGAACCACTGACACATATTTCCCCATATCATTCGAGGAAAAAAACACACTGCTTAATACACAATAAAAAACTGGAGCAAAATCTTCCCGTTTGGTCTTACGAATATCGTTTGATATTCCTGACTGTATTCTTTTTGCTTTCTCTTATTTATACCTTTTTTTATTATTATTAAACCTGTTGCTGGTAACATCCTGACAAATGAACAAAGGCGATACTCTCACCCTTATGCAATAAAAAAAAGTTATTGTTTTCATCAGTCTCATACAGAGCCAAGAGTTTGACAAGAAAGCACCTGACTTCAATGCTCTTCAGTTTAACTGACTTCGTTCTCTTTCAATAGAGGTATTTCCTTACTTTGTTCTCTTTGTATAGAGCTATTTTTCACTTTTTTTATCTTTGTATAAAGATATGAGTTCTCTTCATATAGAGTTCTAAGTCTGTTTCAGCTTTCAGCACTTGTGTCTGTCTTCATATGGAAACAGATTCACAGAGCCCAGCACACAGTAGTGTGAGTGTTTGTTTCTTTTAGTTTTTGGTTTACAGTCTTCCACCTTTACAGATGGCAAAGGTCCAATCCCTTATTCAGCTAAGACATACTTCATTCTTTCATTCATTCATTCATTCATTCATAAAAATTAAGACAAAAGCAAGTGCTACATCCAAATTCTCATCCCTGCATATGAGTTTGTGTGTCCATGGATATGCTCATGTGTCTACATCAGTGTATGCATGTGTTTGGGCATTTACACACATGTACATGTGGATGTGTCTCATCTAAGCCCTCCTCCAGCACTCCACAGGAAGTCCTGCCCAGCAGGCAGTGTGTGAGAGGCGGCCAATGAGATACGGCTCTCAGTGTTGCTGGGTTTCACCTGACTGAAGTCTCGATCATAGGGATAGTGCTGCCTGTCGAAATTATTCACTGTCTCCAAATCATTAAACACAGAATCACACAGCTGCTGTCTGCGCAGTCTATGCCTCCTCCTCCTGATCACCACCAGTCCCACACACACTCCCAAAAACACAGCCAGCACACCTAACACACATGACACCGCCACAGCTGAAGGCGAGGTCCGCCCAACCCGGGGGGCCATCATCTCCAGACCTCCCTGCACAGGAAACTCACAGGTTGAACCCATGAACCCAGGCACACACTGACACACTGGCCCTGAGAAGTGTGTGTAGCACGTTCCCCCGTTAAGGCATGGGTTCATGAGACAAGCGTCTGCTCGGAGGCTGCAGTTTTTACCCATAAAACCTAGAGTACAGGTGCAGGTGTAGTCATTAATGCCATCTTGGCAGGTTCCGGCATTTTGACATGGATAGCGGGCACAGTCGTCAATGTTTGTCTCACAGCGAGGGCCGGTGAAACCAGAGCGACAGCGACACAGAGCACTAGCACCCAGATCTACACACTCACCACCTACAACAAAAGAAAGAGGAGGTTACATATGAGTAGGTGTAGAAGAGAGGAACTGTAACAGTAGCACATATGCATGCGTGGTTGCATAAAAATGTTGAGAACTATGCTCTTTTCTATACAATGAAAGTGAATGGTGACCACAGCTGTCAAGTGAATAGACTGTATGCACGAACGCTGCCGACGTATTTCCGGTAGAATCTCAGCCAGTGTCTTTACCTCCGTATAGCGCGTTCTATAGCGAAGTGTACTAGCGGCCAAACTTTAATAAAATTCATTTTCTCGGAAACGAGACAACGATTTTAGAAACTGATTCGCTAGTCGGATTTCGCATGATATGAGAGATTACTCACCCGCAAAGTTGTCGATGTAGCTCGAAATATATAATTTATGCCCTTTTCTTTCTTACTCTTATGTGTGACAGCTAACTGCCTCACAATATTGTTAACATCATTCACGTTAACCACTGGAAGTTCTTGTAAACAGCGAGTGTAATTTGGCATTATCTCCACCTAATGCAAAAACGGCTTCCGACGCAGCATCGGATGTAACTGGGTGGGCTGAGACAAAACACGGAAGCGATCGTGCATAGAGCCTATTAAATGTAAAAAAAAAAAAAAAAATCCATGCATAGAACTTCTGTGTTCAGAAGACTTAAGGCCCTTGCCCACTGAGTCCGAAATTTTCGTATGCGTTTTTTCGTATTCGTGATTCGGTGGCTCTGAATTGTCAAAACACCATTCAAACTGCTTGCTACGGATGCAAAAAACGCAGAAAATCGAACCCGATCCGATTTATTTTTTATGACAAACGAAAGTTTTGGATTGACATAACGTGAGGTCGTATTTATTTTTTAACGTGCGAAAATTTCGGACGCGAATTTCGGACTCAGTGTGCAAGGGCCTTTAGTCATGTGATTTCTCATATGTAAAAAGAAAAATCTTTTTAATATGCTTTTACTTTTTGAAGCATGAGAGGCTGTAGTTGCCATCCACTTTCATTGTATGAGCAGCATTAGCATTCTTCAAAACTTATTCTTTTGTGTTCCACAAAAGAAAGATATCTAACATGAGGGTTAGTAAATGGTAAATGCGGGTGTTTTGTTCATAATTCTGTTATTGCATTTTTTCAATCAACACAAAAACTCACCATTGGCACATGGTTTGTGGCTGCAGCGGTCCAGTCTTTTCTCACAGTTGGAGCCGGTAAAGGCTGGGGGGCAGCGGCAGACGTAGCCACCGGTGAATTTCTCCTCACATGTCCCTCCGTTAAAGCAGGGGTCATCAGCGCACGTCATCGCAATAATCTCACAGTTCTTCCCATAGAATCCCTGAGGACATGTGCAGGAGTAATCGTTCTCCAAATCCTGCAAGGAAAAATAGGTGTCAAATCATTTTTGATCTCCACAATCCATTGATCTGAGCATATTTATTTATCCTAAATCACATGCAAATAGTTTGAAAAAATTGATTTTACCGTTATTTATTTATTTAGCCTATATTAATTGTCTTTTGAAATAAAATGCATTAACTCCAAGCTAAGTGTGTAAATGTTTGTTTTTGAACAAAAATGTAACATGCTGCATATTGCAAATTGCATGTGACGTAAAATGTGATAGATAGATAGATAGATAGATAGATAGATAGATAGATAGATAGATAGATAGATAGATAGATAGATAGATAGATAGATAGATAGATAGATATATTAATAAGTGACCTTAGACTTACGTTACAACTGCCACCATTCTTGCAGGGGTTGCAGTCACACTCGTTAATCTCCAGCTCACAGTTTGTGCCCCCATATCCTGGCCGGCAGGTGCAAGTGTAGCTGCCCTGTCCAGTGTTGGTGCAGGTGGCGCCATTAGCGCAGGGTTTGTGGTTGGTGCAGTAGTTGAGGTCCTGGTTACAAAAGAGGCCTCCCCATCCCTCCTTACACACACACTGCCACGGCTGCGAGCAGGTCCCATGCAGGCATCCTGGGTAATGCACACACTCGCTGCAGGACGGCCCCTGCCATCCTAGACGACACTTACACTCTCTGGGTGACTCGCAGTAACCGTGTCGCTCGCTGCAGTCCGAAGAGCAGATGGCTGTGGGGGGAGACAGAGAAGGGGGGTAAGCACACTACACACACACCACGCCCCCCGGAGAGGGCAGATGAATGGGTGTGTTAAGTGTAGGGGCCAGCAGCTGGTGAGCTGACAGAGGTAATGAACCCTTTTGTATTTTGAGCTACGGCAAGCGTGCACACACACACACACACACACACAGAACGACCCTCTAGCATGTATCTGTTGGGTTTCTTTGTTAGGCTGAACAAAAGAAGTGCAGAAGCTCTGAAGGAGCAGCTCAACTTCCATCAGACACACACACTAGCACATAAATACAGTGATCAAGACAGAGATAGGACTGCTTCTTTAGGACCCAGACATACTATCCCAAAGGACTGAACAGACCTCTGACAATCTGACACACTCACACACACATAGGTTGTAGGCTACTCACGATCGGAGCAGTAGTCTCCCTGCCATCCCTCTTGGCATTCCCTGTTCCCGCTCTCATCGCAGGTGTAGTGTCCCAGCGTGTCATCACGGGGACGGCAGTAATCCGAACACGCCTCGCCGTAGTAAAACTCATCACAGAAAACGTGATACGAGTAACGGAGCTCGCTCTGATCGCCGAAATGAACATCCTGAGACCAGTCTTCCCCAATCGCCAAACGCCTTCGTGTTGCTAAACGACTGATCAGGTTGTTTTGATTCTCTGTTGGGGAAAATTCAAGGAAAATTGTAGCTTGAAAAAGCAGTGAATTAGTTAATTAAATAAATAAATAAAAACTCTTAATTTAGTAATGCATCATGTCTGTATCTTTGTTTTGAATACAGAGTTTCTGAAACAGGGCCACTCACCTGTGTAATCATGATGCTCTTTGGGAGACTCTGCATTCCATGCCTCAATAATAAGAGAAAATGTCCCCTGAAAAGAACAAGAAGTTATTCCAGATCCAAGGAAAACTTTCTTCGCTCAAACTGAGAAGCTAACAATCTTTATGTCTTTCTCTCTTTTTTATTTTCTTTTTTTCTCTTTTCTTTTTTCTTTTTTACTTATAGCCCTATTTGTTACATTTTCAGACTTTTGCATGGTCTTGTCTTTTGCACTTATGTACATTTAAATGTTTAGTTAAACTTAAGGGAACCTGAATAAAAATAATAATTTTGCAGTAGCCTAATGCAAAACAAATGTATAGGCAGCATTTGTCTTAGTTATTTTCTCAGATCAGCTTAATAATTACACAATGAAGTAATGAAATATTGTTTGCTAGTGTTAATCTCGTGTGTGATGTTACTTTACCGGCCACTTGAAGTGGAAAGGCACCCGGATGGCTGCGCTGCTGGCTATAGAGCTCTGGTCCGCTCGCAGGACACTCGTCTGACCGGTTCCGAAGGTGCACGGAGGCTCGGCGGAGATGACGTCCTCAGAATGCTTGAGACAAATCCTGAAAAAGATGTTGCAGTCTCGCGTCCTCCTGCACAAGCGCCGTGTCGTACTGAACGAGTGAACTTTCAATTCAAATACACCCGATGAAACCACCTGTTCAAGAACAGAGAAAACGTAGTCTATATCTGACTTCTACATATTTTAATTAAAAAAAAAAACAATAAACAATTCTGCACTACCTAGGAGACAAATATTCATACTATAAAGGCACATTAAAGAGAAAATGAAAATAAGAATGAAGTATAGGCAAAGCCTTCAACTGGCTCCTTACCAACTGGAAAAGCGACACAGACAGCAGACAGTACAAAGACAGATGCGCCATCTCGCTCAGTTAAACCTAAACTTTATTACAATAAAACGCACGTATCTTCATCCGAAGCTTTAAAGTGTTTAGAGCTACAGAAGAAGAAAAAAAAACAGTCAGATGTCCTGGTAAGAAATCTTTGGCACGTCCATGAAAGTCCACTGTGTCTTCAGAGGAAAAGCGCACTCGTCGTCTCCGTTCTTCTGCGCGTGCGGTATAACTTCATTGAATATCTTGATGAATGGACGCCGTTATATAAGTCTTGCCCCCCTTCACGTGACGTCAGAGGGGACATATGCCATAATATTGGCCTGATTAAATTGATCTGCTGCTGCGTGTGGCAGTTGTGTTGATGGAGTTGAAGGGTTAGGGTTGAAGCTAGCCACACTGCTGTCTATATCATTTATTATTTTTCAATAAAGTGATGTTGGGCAGATGTGCACAGGAGTTCTCAAGTACGAAAACTTGATAAATATATATATATATATATATATATATATATATATATATATATATTTGCGAAATAATACAAGTAAATTCAGCAAACAGGATGTTTATTTATTCGCACTACTTGAATTATAAATGAAAACATCTGTGATCTGTAGTGATTTAGATTTGATTTGTTTACTTTACTTGTTTGTCCAAGCAGCTAGAATAATTAACGGGAATTTCAAAAAGCAAACAGAAATATAGGCCTACTTACACGGTTCAATTAGCCTTTTCGTTAAACCAAAAATTATATGCGGGGCAATATTACCTTTTTAAGGAGAATCCTTACATCCTTCATAATGCGAGCAGTGAGGAAGTTTGTGTGAAAGTAACTTATAGGACAAAAGTCCTAAATCTCTGCAAATATTTTGACATTGAAAAAAAAAGTTTTCTTATTAGGCAATTTTTTTTTTTTTTTTATCAATAGCCGATATATAGCCTACATTAAACATAAAATAACATTTGTTTATGTTTTATTAAAAATATATTATGCCATTTAGTAAAAATATATATTTTTCCAATTACTGTTGTTTCCACCAGTATAGTGTAGCCTACTTTTACATCGAGCGCACGTTTCAGTTTTTAATTATTTCCTCTGCACCCAAACACATTCATACACACACACACACACACAACCTTGGGCTGTGTGGTCGATCTGTCGCGTGCGGGCAGTGGGAGGCCATACGTGTTTGTTTGTTTGTTTGTTTGTTTGTTTGTTTGTTTGTTTGTTTGTTTGTTTGTTTGTTTGTGTCAGTCAAAAGTGTGCGTGTGTGTGTGTAGGCCTACTAAATACGTTATAGGGACCAGACTAAGGATATTAATAGAAGACATTTTGACCTTATGCTTATGGTGATTTTTTTTTGGTGCACAAATTATAAATCATAGTCTAAAATCATAAGTAAAAATGATGAAAGTTTCTGTGATGGGTATGTTTAGGGGTATTTAGGGTTAGGAGATAGAATAGGCTAGGCCTATACAGTTTGTACAGTATAGGCTATAAAAATCATTATACACCTATATATTAATGTGTGTGTGTGTGTAGTGTGTGTCTTTTGTTGTGCAGTATGCAGAGACGCGCAGGCTGCTCTGTCTGGAGGATGGGTGGGGAAATATCATGATGACGCTTTTGTGTGGGTCAACTCCAACAGCTGTATGTTAACATGCGGCACATGGTCACTTATTGTCCACCACAAACCGCCCGAACTCACCCAACCGGCATCTGTTGCGGTCGGTAAAACACTTGCAGCCGTTCCACTCATATAGCCTAACGTAGGCCTCATAGCCTAATCTTTTATTACATGCCTTTAAAATATTTTCCAAAGTAGGCCTATTAGGTCTATACGTGATTAATATAAAATAAATGAACATCGAATAGTAAATAATAATGTACCTACAGGCTTATGTAATTCAGTGTTATGCGAACTGAATGGAATTTTCTTTTTTTATATCAATTTATTCACGAGAAGAGCAGAAGTTGTGACGTGTGGTTGTGTGCTTTTGTGGTCGGTCTCGCTCAAGAGCTGTTGTTATGCTAATGAGTGACGCGTGCCTCAGAATCCTTTCATTAAGCCATAACCACAATGCATCACTTATAATGTCCTTTAGAATACCTCATAAATATTGTCTCCAAGACCGCAGTGTAAATAAATCTAGAAAGTGTGTCAAGACAACAGTCAGGAAATATTAGTAGCTACTTGACACTGTAAGCTAACAAAATCACTTCATTAAACCAGCTGATTCTTTGATAACTATGATTCCTGTCAGTGATGCTGGGGACAAAGACATATTTTATGCCACACAATGTGTTCTACATCTGTATTGACAGAGATAAACTCTTGTTGTGGGTAAGAGGACAGATGACCGAGGAAAAAAACAACTAAGCATAGTTGCATGCAAGCTTGAGACATGGTCATGTCAATGCTATTCTGCACTTGATACAACACACGTTTCAGTAGCCTATATGGTCAAGGAACGGAGTATCTAACTTGAAGTATACTTTAACCTCAAGCTGTTGTCGATGAGCAAAAACATAAGTAAAAGAGCAATTCAACAATTAAATACCTTCCCATGCACATAATGTGCTGTCAGTCACTGTAGATAAAACGAATCGGTTACCTAACGTAATCTCGGTTCTCTCTAGAAGAGGGAACGAGTATTGCGTAAGCTAGCTTACGCTGCGGGAAAGATTCATCTTTGCTGAGATATTGAAGCCAAAAAATTATTTCATAATTTGTATCCATTGACAACGCAGTTCCTCTGCGGCAGACCTAGAGCAGGCTAGCTAGCAGCTCATTGGTTCGCTCAGAGAGAACTGCTTAAGCCTATGGGAGAGCGGGGCTGAACCCGCTTCCAGTGAGAGGCGCCCGCGCGCTCATTGCGTCATGGCCCGCCAGAATGGGCGTGGCTATGGTGTATATAACAGTCTCTCCCAGGCTTATATGTTGATTTATTTCAGCGTGAAGCGAAACGCTAGTAGCGCAAGCACGGCTGGGAACGCAATTCGTTCCCTCTTCTAGAGAGAACCGAGGTTACGTTAGGTAACCGATTCGTTCTCTTACGAGAGGTTCTCTCGTATTGCGTAAGCTAGCTTACGCTGCGGGAACACCTGGTCAACGCCGTGCGCGCTATGAATCCACTCATGAATCCCAGGGTGATACCGGGGGATTTTTAACGTGGAGTGAATGTATTATGAGGCCGGCAGAGCGGGCACATGAAGTGTATACATAAGCATGTATGAGGCCGGCAGAGCGGGCACATGAAGTGTATAAGCATTTAAGGAGAGCACAAGGGGCGAACCGGTTGTGTGAGGGACTCCCAGTAATGCAGCTTCTTAGGGAGCTGGTCGTTAGACAGCTAGTAATTTTGCCTGCAAGGCGGGAACTTCCAAGTTGTAAAATCTGACAAAAGTGGACGGGGAGGCCCATCCCGCGGCCACACAAATGTCATGAATGGAAATTCCACAGGACCATGCCCACGATGAGGCCATGCCTCTAGTGGAGTGCGCCCTGATGCCCAGAGGGCAGGGCAGGCATTTAGATGCGTAAGCAGAGGCGATAGCGTCTACTATCCATCTAGACAGTGTCTGTTTAGAGGCGGCCAGACCTTTGGTGCGCCCCCCAAACGACACGAAAAGCTGCTCAGCGCGTCTGAACGCGGCAGCGCGCTTAGTGTACAATCTCAGAGCCCGCACCGGGCAGAGGAGATTGGCGTCGCGCTCACTATCGGATGAAGGCAGAGCCGATAGGGAAATAATCTGAGCCCTGAACGGGGTACCAATCGCCTTCGGGACATAGCAATGTCTAGGTTTGAGAATGACAACAGAATCATTCGGTCCAAACTCGAGACACGCGGCGCTGGATGAGAGCGCGTGAAGATCCCCCACGCGTTTTACTGAGGACAGAGCCGTCAGAAAAACGGTTTTGAGCGAGAGGTATTTTAGGTCCACAGACTCGAGCGGTTCGAACGGGGGTGCTTTCATAGCTTCGAGAACTATAGAAAGATCCCAGATAAGAACCGAAGGGGGGCGCGGAGGGTTCATCCTCTTAGCTCCCCTGAGGAAGCGGATGACTAACTCGTCTTTGCCCAGGGACTGAGCGCGTCGGGGTTCAGAGAACGCCGCGACGGCTGCCACGTAAACCTTGAGAGTGGAGGGGGACCTGCCCTTGTCCAGCATCTCTTGAAGGAAAACAAGCAAAGACGGCACCTCGCATGACCGTGGGTCCAGATGTTTGTCGGTGCACCATTTTGAGAACACAGACCATTTAGACGCATAGAGCCTTCTCGTGGAAGGTGCTCTAGCCTGTATGATAGTGTTTCTTACTCCTTCTGGCAAATCGACGAATAGTCGTTGATCACCCATGCATGTAGCGCCCAGCGCCGTGGATGGGGGTGCCAGATCGTGCTGCGAGCTTGAGAGAGGAGATCTGCTCTGACTGGGATGGGCCACGGGGCTGTCTGTGACAGCGGAGTGAGCTCCGGAACCCAATTCTGACTCTCCCAACGCGGGGCTATGAGGAGCACCGAGTGCCGTGTGTCCCTGATCCTCTGAATTACCTGTGGTAGCAGAGCGATCGGAGGGAATGCATAGAGCGGGCGGCGAGGCCATTCCTGGGCTAGCGCGTCCTCGCTCCTTGAGAAAAATATTGGGCAGTGAGCGTTCTCTTCTGACGCGAAGAGGTCCACCTCTGCTCTGCCGAATAGCCGCCACAGTATTTGGACCGTTTGTGTGTTCAGGGACCATTCTCCTGAGGAGATGAGGTTCCTGGACAGTATGTCTGGACCGTCGTTCAGATGGCCCGGCACATGCGTCGCTCTGAGCGAGAGCAGGCGGCTCTGAGACCAAACTAAAATGCGGTGTGTCAGTAGGAAGAGATTCCTGGACCTGACACCGCCCTGACGGTTGAGATAGGAGACCACAGCCATGTTGTCCGAACGGATCAGGACGTGGTGTCCCCGAATGAGCGGGAGGAAGCGCGAAAGCGCGTTCTCGACCGCAAGCATTTCCAGACAGTTTATGTGTAAGGGGCTTTCCTGTGTCGACCAATGGCCGAAGGCCGGTGAGCCCTCGCAGACTGCACCCCAACCCGTGTTGGATGCATCTGTCGAGATGACTTTTCGGCGGGAAAAGGTCCCCATCGTGACGCCCTGTCGAAACCATTCTGCTACTGTCCATGGCTGCAGCGCCGTGAGACATGTCTGCGTAACTCTGATCAGCTGGCGGCCCGTGTTCCACGCGCGGTGGGGTACACGGCTGTTTAACCAAAGCTGAAGCGGACGCATGTGCAGAAGGCCCAGCTGAAGCACAGCGGAGGCTGAGGCCATGTAACCCAGCATCCTCTGAAAAGTTTTCAGAGGTGTGCGGGTGCCCATCTGAAACGAGGCGGCCAGTC